GGGGTTGTCTGTCTGGGGGGGTCAGGGCTGGGGCTACCTTGGCTGAGTCATCATTGGTCCATCCCTAAGCCTCACGTGCACTTCTGTCAACTCCAAGGAGGGCCAGGGCCGAAGCTCCTCCTCCTCTCCCCACCCAACCCCCTCCCCTATAGGCACCTGGAGTCCCAACAGGAAGGGGCTGTAGCCCCCGGGAGCCGACGGAGGGCCCCTGAAGAGCAAGTGCACCAGGCAGAGTCCAAGACTCCCCCCAGGCCCCCGAGCCTGGCCTCAGGTACTGAGCCTGTCTGCCATGCCTGGGAGGAACCCAGCACCCCACCTCTGTAGGTGACACCCGCAGATAGGACATTCAGCCTGGCCCCCTTCCTCAGCCGGGCTCAGAGAGAGACTGTGACAGGGAGGTCCCCTTCTGGGGCTAGGGAGGGCCAACCCAAGTCCACCCTCTCCCAAGCCATGGTCCAAGCCCTGTGACCTTGTGGCCACCCAGGCTGGACTCAAGAGAGACCTCATTCCACAAAAGGGTGGTGTCAAGAGTTCAGAGTGGTCTGGACAGAAAGAAGCAGCCACCCCAGGGCGCCAGCAGGCAGAACATGCCCACCAGGCTGCTTTCAGGGGCACAGGCACCAGGCCAGGGGTCGGCGGCCAGCAGCCTCCCCAGGAGACCAAGGCAGGGAGGGTGCTGCTGCTTTACCCCGAAGACGGCAGGTGTATTCAGGGCACAGAATTAAGCCATGCAGTGCCCTCTCCGAAGGACACTGGCTTCAGCGTGACCACAGCTTCAAGGCAGAGAGGACCCTCCCTCAGTGGGCAGGCAGGCTGGGCGGGGGGCACTATAAGCAGGGGCGACCCCACGGTGGGCAGACTGACCCTCCTGTGGGGGAGCCTGGTCAAGGGAGCTGGGATGGGCAGGGAACAGGGCAGGCCAAGCCTCTGCCCTGCTGGTGGGTTACTGTGGAGGGGCAGAGAGAGGGGTCAGCAGCTGGTCACCTGTGGCCAGGAGCTGCAGGGGTGGAGGGAGGGCAGGCAGGGCAGCCAAGAGGAGGGCGAGCTGCAGCGGCCTTGAGTTGGGGTCAGGACAAAGGCATACCAGGACTGCAGGTGCCGGTGTAGGCGGGTACGGAGGGACCAGCCTGGGGCAGTGGGCCGGTGACCAGCCTCTCAGGGAAAGAACCAGGTGTTGGGATCGCCTTACCTGCCCCAGAGGTGGGCCTGCCCAAGCAGCCAGGGGTCACAGGGCTGGGAACACACAACTTGGGGTGCAGCGGAGCAGCCTGAGGGGCAGGGATGCTGCCTGTGGACCCCTAGCCTGGACCATGGCCTTGGGGCTGCAGGGCCATGGGTGGGCTGTGGCCTCCCCTTGCCTCACGGCCTTTCTGACAGCTGTCACTCTGTTTGCCTTCTAGAGCCCCCCAGGACCTTCCGATGTCAACTGGTCCCTTCTCCTCCCAAGCACCCGATGCCACCAGCTTCTGGCAGCAGCTCCCCCCGGTGGCCCACAGACCTGCAGTCCAGGGGGCGTCGGCTCCGAGCCCTGGGCAGCTGGGGGCCTGGCGTGGGTGATGGGGCGGCGGCAATGGCCTCAGACCTGAGCCCTGGAGCCCAGGGATGTCCTGGCCCAAAGCCGGCACCAGACGCATCAGCCAGAATCCCCAGGGCAGCCGAACTCCCCCACCCCACCCCCTTCCCCCACTTAGTGTAGCCCCACTGCCAAGTTACACTGTGCTGGGGCCACGACCTGCCCACATATGTGGTCACAGGGGCGCTGGGTGGGCTTGGCCTCATGGAGCACAGAACGTCTGGGCGGGTGCGTTGGTGGGTGGAGGGAATGCCTGGCCCTGGGGAGGACCCTCTTGGTGGAGGAGAGGGGGGGCTCGGGCTTGAACCCACTTTAGGCCCCCGACAGGGTTTGGCGTGGGAAGGGAGGGTCCCGATCCAGCCTTCCTTCCGGCCAGGCTTTCCCGTGGGCACAGGTTGGGGGGTGGTCACAGGGGCAGGCCTGTCAGAGGGCTCTCCGGCTAGAGTTGGGTGTGGCCGAGGGGCAGGGGCTGGAACTGGGGCTGCGAGTCCAACCCTCAGCCCCCGACACCCCCCACTCCCAGAGTAAGAGCCACCTCCTAGGCCTCCGTGGCCCAGAGTCCCAGGGTCCCAGCTGCTCGCCCTCGGCCTCCTGTCCCCGGGGGATCTGCAGGGCTCCCGCGCCGCGACAGGGCGGCAGTTCCCTCCTCCTGGGGCAGGATGCCCCGGAAGCCAAGCGAATCATTTTTGACTCCCAGGTGTACAGAAATGCGATTTACTTTGTAGGCAACGTTGGTTCATTAAATTACGCAGCGGACCCCCCTGCCTAGTCCCCGCGCCCGTCCCGCCCGCCCTCCCCGCGGTCCCGGCCCCTAGGCGCGGCGGCAGGCGTCCGCGGTGAACGGCAGGCCGCTGAGGAAGCGGAAGCCGTATCTGCTCTCGGCCGTGCTCGGCACCGACAGGGCGACCATGGGGCAGCCGCGGTCCACGCTCTTCCGGCACACCTGGGGGGCGCGGGGGCTGAGAGGCGCGCGGGGCGGGGCGAGGAAGGGAGGGGAGGGGCGGGGCGAGGAAGGGAGGGGAGGGGCGGGGCGAGGAAGGGAGGGGAGGGGCGGGGCGGGGATGGAAAGAGAAGGGGGGACGGGGAGGGAACTTGGAGGGGCAGGGGAGGGGAGGGGAGTGGAGGAGGGGGACCGGGCGCATCCACACGCGCGCCCTCACCCGAACTCGGTGCTCCTCCAGGCCCAGCCCGGCGTCTGCGGGAGGCGGCGGTGGGGTGGGGTCAGGCGGGCTGCGCTCTCCCTCCGGCGCGCGCTCCCCGGGGATAGGGGGCAGGTGCTGCGCGGGCCCCTCCCGCGGGTGGAAGCGCTTCCCCGAGCTCGGCGGCGGCTGTAGGGCCCGCGTCCTGGGGGGCGAGGGTCATGAGGGCGGCGGCCGGCCCGTGGAAAGCGGCCCTAGAGGGTTCCGCGCCTGGCATGGTGCAGGGGCTGAGGGACGCCCTGGTGACTCAGGGCGGCAGGACGGGACCTGGGGACGTTGGGGCCGCCCAGGCGAGGGGATCCGAGGGACCGTGTTGCTGGGGGGGGGGGCTTGGAGAGGAGGCGGGGTCCCGGGGACCCGCGGTTCCCACCGTGGCCTCCGGCGACCGACCCGGGGCTCTCGCACGCGGCCTCTGCGCGGGGTTCCAGGCGGCTCGCAGGGGTCGGTGCCGGGCTCCACCTCCGGGAGCGGGAAGCGGTCGATGGACAAGTCGGTGTAGTCGACGAAGACCCTTGGGGCCGGAGTCGCGCAGTGTGGGATCCGGTGCTCGCTGAGGACCTGCGGGGCGCGTCGGTCACCCCCGCACCCGATGCCCGGCCGCCCCCCGAGGGCCCGCACCGACCTCGCCCTTGGGGCCCAGGAGCAGCGTCACGCAGTGGCGGCTGGAGTGGGAGGGTTTGGGCTCCCGGCCCGAGGACGCGCACGGCGGCTTCTTGGCGTTGCGGGGCCCCTCGCCCCAGACCTGGAAGGGCGCGGAGCGACGGGTGAGGGGCGGCCGGGCGGGCCGTCCGGGCTGGGCTCGCGGGCCGGGGCGCACCGTGATGTGGTGGCGCGGGGCCAGCAGCGTGGCCGGCGGGAAGCGGTACAGGCGCTCCGGGCGGCCGCGCACCAGCTGCTTCAGCACCGCGCCTCCCAGGTCGGCCGTCTCCTGCTGCGACTGATTGAGGATGCGGACGAGCTTCTCGCGGACGCTCACGGCCACGATCTTCAGGCAGCTGCTCGTCGGGCTGGGGCAAGAGGGGGGCGCTGTGAGGAGATGCGGCCTGTCCACCCCACGGCTGTGCGCCGGGCCCGGAAACCAGCTCCAGCCGAGCGCCAGAGGCCTGGGCCGCCCCTTACCTCTGCGGGTGTTCGGGGCCCGGGCAGTCAGGGTCTGTGCAGAGCTCTGGCGCCGGGACCGGCTTGCGGTGCCTGGCTGATCGGGTTTTCTGGAGATCTAGAGAGGAGCACTTCTGGGGAGGGGGACCCTCGAATGGCGTAGCCAACGAGATGTACCCCGTGAGGCCAGACCAGGCCTGCAGGGCCTGGGGGAGCGGGTAGCAGGGCCAGGGTCAGAGGGGCAGGAAGAGCGGCTGTACCTCGGGGCCTGGAGGACCTCCTTCAGGGCTCTGGGTGAGATCACGGGCCTGAGGGATGGAGGGTGGATTAGGGTAACAGGGAGCCCCGCCCCACTGCACCTTCTGATCCTTTTCTGGAGCTCCTGGCCTGCACCAGTGCCTGCTCGGAGGAAGCACCCCAGCCCTGGGGCGAGTGCCCTGATGCCTTCAGCAGGTGGTAAGGCAGTCCCCGCTGGTAGCTGCTGGAGTCGGAGTCAGCGCCCCCTGAGCTGCTGGTGCCCAGACAGGGCAGGGAGCCCCAGTTCACGGTCTTGTGATGCCCCTCGGAGTGCTTTCCAGGGGACCCCGGGCTGTCTGTGTCTAGCTGTGGCCAGGGCCAGGGCTGCCTGTGGACCACACTCTGCTTGATGTCCATTCCAGCTCCAGATGCCAGCCCTGCCCCCATCTAACCGGAATAGGCAGCGCAGCAGGGAGCCCCTGCTGGCTCCCGGTACCCAGGAGCCAGGCCCAGCACATGGCAGGACAGTGATGGCCCCTTCAACCCCAACCCGTTCTACAGATCACAGGACTGAGCATTGGAGGGTTAAGGGACTTATCCAGGGGCACCAAGGGGTAATGTCCTTGAGTGGCCTGGGTCTTCACCTGCCAAGGTGAGCCCTCCCTTCTGGCCCCTGGGGAGTCCCTGCCTGTGCCGTTACTTTTGCTGTGAGTCAAGCTCCATGTTGGTGAAGAGGTTGGGGTACCGGTGGGCAATACTGTTCCAGTCCACGTCCTCCAGCCGAAAGCCCTGGCCAGGAAACAAGAAGCACGTGTCCCCTCCCGCCGGGCTCCAGATCCCAGAGCACACACGTGGGAGGCCTAGCTTACCTCCCCAGTGGGAGCCTGACTGTTCTCAGAGAGGTCACTTGGGTCCATCAGAGTCCCTGCTGTCACCACCTGCCAGAGGGGACCAGAGGCCAGTGGGCAGGGACTGGGGCGAGTGGCACCCTCCCCCACAGCACCTCTCCTCTTTGACCTCACCTGTGTTTTGAGGTCTCCTGATTCCTCCCCGCTGGAGCCTGGAGTTCCAGAGGCAGCCTGAGCCGGGCAGGCTTCCAGGCAGACCAGGGCACCCCAGCAGAGGTACCCGATGGGAGGGTGAGGGCTAGGGAGGGCGGCTGGGGCAGCAGGGCTTGAGGGGTGGGCTCACCTCCACACTGCCAGTCTGGGATCGCAGCATGCGGCCCACCCACGAGGAGCGGGCTAGCTGCAGGAGGCAGGACTTCTGGAAGTTCTGCAGCTCGGCCTCCACCTCCTGGAGCCTGCGGGTGGTCTCCAGCAGCTGCTCCTCCAGGTACTCCTTCTCCTGATCAAGGAGGACCTGTGGGTGAGAGGCCAGCCCACGCCGGGCTCCCCACACCAGGACCCCGCCCACTCCCTGCGCGCCCTCCCACTCCCTGTGCCCCGCCCACTCCGGGCCCCGCCCACTCCGTGTCCCCGCCCACTCCCTGTGCCCCCCGTCAACCCCCTGTGCCCCCTGCCTCACCCACTGGGCTCGCTCTTTCTGTTCCTTTAGCTGCAGGGTCAGCTTCTGGACCCGGCTCTGCAGTAGCCTCTCCTGACTGTGGGGGCTCCTGGAGGAGGGGTGACCTCAGCAGCCCCCAGCCTGCTCAGGCAGGGGTTCTTAACACCAGGTCAGTGGTGAAGGAGGGCACCACCGCCATCTTGGCCCCAAGGGCACACAGTACAGCGGCGCTGGGGCCGGCCAGCCTCCCACTGGTCTGGGCAGGGGCCTGGCACCCATCCACATGCTCAGGGCTGGGGTGAGGCTGTGACGTGTTAGCTTAGGGTCAGGGTGGAGGGTCAGCGTGGGCAAGGACGAGGGAAAGGATCTGACTCGGCTGTTGGGGTTGGGGTCAGGAACCAGGAGTCCGGGCCAGGACAGGGCAGGGTTGGGTTGGGCTGGATGCTCTGCTTCAGACCTCTTGGGCGGAAGCCCCGCCACCTCCTGCAGGATGTGGCAGAGCCGGGTGTCTCGGCCATTCTGGACCTCCCACCGCAAGGCCTGGATCTCTAGTTCTCGCTGCCCCCACAGCAGCCGCAGCGTGCGAGGATCCAGGGACTCAGGAGCCAACCTGCAGCGACAGTGCCCCTGCTGCTTGCTCAGGCTGGGCCCCCGCCATCTGGCCCAGGAGCCTCACCACTCCTCCCTCCCGTCCTTACTGCGGGTGGGCAGAGCAGGCCACCCGTGAGGAGTGGGGCGTGGTGTCCGGCAGGCTTGTGGGAGTCGCAGAGGCTGCAGGTGTGCCTGCTGGAGGTCCCAGGTGACCACTGACCAGCTCTCGGTCTGCGGGGGACAAGAGAGCCTCCTCCTTGGCTTCTTCAGCCCCGGGGCCAGACTTGGGGGCCATTTGTGATGTTCTTCGGGAGCTAGGAGGGGTGGGGAGGCCAAGTGTGCTTGTGTGGTCACACAGGTTGGAGCCGCCCAGCGGCACCAGCGCTCAGGGAGCGTGGCTATCTGAGGAGCTCCCCAAATGGGTGTCCACACCTGTGTGTTTCTGACCTTTGCCTGTGATGTGGTGTCTTTCTCTTTCTCTCTCTTGTCTCCCCAGCTCAGGGCCCCACCCCCAGCATTCACCTGAGGCCAGAGCTCCAAGCCGGCCTGGGAGGGAAGGGCTCTGTACCGTTGCCCTGGATACCAGCACCCAGAAGGGGAGGGGCTGTTTGTTACCTGGAGCCTCCAGGGAGACCCCAGACCAGGCCGCTGGGTGAGTTCTGAGCCAGCCCAGCCTGGAGGAGGTGTGAGAGGCTGAGCCACTGCTCAGCTTGGGGTGGGGGAAATCACTTAGTGGCCAACACCCTCCACCTGAGAGAGGCCCCAGCATCCCCCACCTAGCCTGGTGGCAGCAGCGTGACACATATAGAAGCATTGCTGTCTGTGAGCCAGGCCAGCATAGCCACGGGTGTGTGGGGGACAGGAAGCAGACAGGTAACAGTGACAAGCTGGGGACTGGTAAGGGCTAATTTGCAGTAGTACGCCCCTGCCCACAGCCTCTTTTTAAATTAGTAATTAGTTTTTTATAGACAGGTTCTTGCTTTGTTGCCCAGGCTGTTGGAGCGCCTTGGTGTGATCCAGCTCATGGTAATCTGGAATTCCTGGGCTCAAGCGATCCTCCCACTTCTGCCTCCTGAGTTACTGGGACTACAGGCGCCTGCCTGCACCGCCAGGCCCAGCCCACAGCCCCTTCGACCTCAGTGACCAGCACTCATCCCCAAGCTGGAAGCCTCACCTTTTCCAGCCATCTCCACACCCCCTGGGTCACCCCCAGGGACCCCCGTGGGCATTGCCATTATCACGACAAGCATTCCCCCTCCTCTAGGACAAAAGTGAGGCCAGACCTGACCCACAAGACCCAAGCACTCCCGCCTTCACCTCCACCCCGCCCTCACTCATTCACGCTCCATCTCTGCAACTTGTCGGCCGGGTAAGGCCTCCCTGGAGGAGCACAGGAGACAGGCCGGCAGGAGGCCCCTCCACGCCCACAACTCGTTCGGAGCTGGGCAGAGCGGGCAATGAATGGCGGACCACGAGGCTGCGGACCCCGCCGGGACAGCAGGGCAGGCAGGTGTCGGGACGAACAGCCTCAGCCGCGGCCCGGCCTCTCCCGAGCGGGCACCTCCCGCACCAGGGCTGCCCCCAGCCGGGGACTCGTGCCCCTGCTCCCCGCGGCCCTGCGCGTCCAGGTGACCGCCACCGCGGGGGCCCCCAGGGAACGGCCCCGAACGCGAGGGGCGGTGCCGGCCCCGCTGCCCCTGGGCACACGTGGGGTGTGCGGGATCCCAGGCCGGCGACCGTCCGCGGGCGGGAACCCGCCACACTTGAAGGCGGCTGAGGAAGGAAGTCCGCCCCGAGCGGGGCCAGACACCTGCCCCGACGCGCCGCCCGGGGCCGCAGCCGCCGCGTTTCCGCGTCCTTCGCGGGGTGGGGGATGGGGGCGGAGGACCGCGGCCAGGCCCCGCCCTCTGGCCCGCCCACACCTGGAGTTTCTGGGGGCGGGGCGCGGCGGCGAGCCAATGGGGCGGGGAGGGGCGTGATGGAGGCAGCCAATGGGTGAGAGCTGGAGAGCGGGACACCCGCTCGGAGAAGCCAATAGGGGTGCTGGGGGGCGGGGCGTGCGGGCCGCGGGCCAATGGGGGCGCGGGGCCGGGGCGCGCCGCGGCGCTGGGGGCGGCAGGTTGCGGCGGCTCCGGAGCGGGTCCCGAGGCTGGCGAGCGCCCAGGTGAGCGGCGCCGGGTCCCGGGGCCTTCCGAGCGCGGGGCTCGCCTCGAGCCGGCCGGGAACCGACTCCAAGTGGGGAGCGCTTTCCGCGAGGCCGGGGTGGGGGGCCGAGGGCGCGGGCGTCGCGGCACCTGCGCCCACCCTGCGGAGCTGGGACGCCCTGGCTCCCGCCAGGCTGGGGTTGCAGACGGCGCCGGCATCCGTGCCCGCGGCGGACGCCGGGACCTTCGGGGCGATTGGACGGCGGGGCTCCCTGGGTTGGCGGGGGCTGCTCAGACCCGGAGTCCGCTGGGTCCGCGGGGTCGAGGTCAGGGTCGCGACCCCGCGCGCCGCTGCGGCCTGAGCGGGTGGGGGGGGCGTTCCCATGGCGGCGGCCGCAGTGCCCTCCGAGCCAGGTGAGGCGGACAGGAAATCCTGGGTCTGGTTAATGATTCGCCTTGTTCCGGGAGTGCGGGCGTGGCAAGAGGAGGCTGGTGAGGTGGGGAGCCTGCATGCTCCGGAGGGCCACCCCAGGAATGTGTGGCCGGCGGGTGGGGCCGACACGGGAGGGCGGGGCCAATGCGGAGGGGCCGCAGCCCGGGCCGTTTCTAGGGCAGGCCAGGAGGAGGAGGACCAGGCTGAGGTAGGAGTAGGCAGGTCCTGACCCTGTGGCCTGCGCCTTCCCCGCAAAACAGGGATGCTCTTGGGGCTGGCAGCCATGGAGCTGAAGGTGTGGGTGGACGGCGTCCAGCGTGTGGTCTGTGGGGTCTCCGAGCAGACCACCTGCCAGGAAGTGGTCATTGCACTGGCGCAAGCAATAGGTGAGTGCTCTGGGGTGAGGCTGGCCCTGCAGGTAGAGCTGAAGTGAGGCCTGATGGTCTAGCCCTGTTTCACCCAAGGAGGGTGGGGCTGGTTGCTGAACCGGCTTGTCCTTCCCAGTTCCTCAAGCCAGGGAGACAGAGTGGGGGGCACAAAGGCTGACCTTCTCCCCTTCCCCCCAGGCCAGACCGGCCGGTTTGTACTTGTGCAGCGGCTTAGAGAGAAGGAGCGGCAGCTGCTGCCAGAGGAGTGTCCAGTGGGCGCCCAGGCCACCTGTGGACAGTTTGCCAGCGATGTCCAGTTTGTCCTGAGGCGCACAGGGCCCAGCCTGGCTGGGAGGCCCTCTTCAGACAGCTGCTCACCCCCAGAACGCTGCCCAATTCGTGCCAGCCTCCCTGCAAAGCCACGGGCAGCGCTGGGCTGTGAGCCCTGCAAAGCACGGACCCTCGGGCCAGCCCCCAGCCTCTCACCTCCTGGGCCTGCAGCCCCTGTGACACCCTCACCAGGCTGCTGCACAGACCTGCGGAGCCTGGAGCTCAGGGTGCAGAGGAACGCTGAGGAGCTGGGCCACGAGGCCTTCTGGGAGCAGGAGCTGCGTCGGGAGCAAGCCCGGGAGCGGGAGGGACAGGCACGCCTGCAAGCGCTAAGCGCGGCCACTGCTGAGCACGCCGCCCGGCTGCAGGCCCTGGACGCCCAGGCCCGAGCCCTGGAGGCCGAGCTGCAGCTGGCAGCAGAGGCCCCTGGGCCCCCTTCTCCCATGGCATCTGCCACTGAGCGCCTGCGCCAGGACCTGGCTGTTCAGGAGCGGCAGAGTGCGGAGGTGCAGGGCAGCCTGGCCCTGGTGAGCCGGGCCCTGGAGGCTGCAGAGCGAGCCCTGCAGGTGAGCGCCAGGACCTGCTTCCTGTCCCTTCCCCTCCCCTGACATGAGCAGGTTTGGGGGTCACAGGGTCCAGCTAGGGAGAGCACTCCCTCTGGGGCACAAGGGCCACAGAGCCCCATGGCTGTGCCTCCTGAGAGTCCCGTGTGCCCCCAGGCCCAGGCTCAGGAGCTGGAGGAGCTGAACCGGGAGCTCCGTCAGTGTAACCTGCAGCAGTTCATCCAGCAGACTGGGGCTGCACTGCCGCCGCCCCCACGGCCTGACAGGGGCCCTCCTAACACACAGGTTGACGTGGTTCTGGGGGAGGCTGGGAGGTGAGGACCTGGCCCAGCCCCACTCCAAGCTGACTTCCCTCCCCACAGGGCCCTCTGTCTCCAGCCAGACAGGAGTCCCTCCTGGGACCCCCGCTGAGCCCCGTGCTGGTGCCTGCCCTAGGCCCCGAGGGTATGTCTGTGTCCCGCCTACCCCTGGGACCCGGCGCTCTCCTGTGGCCGCAGCCTCCTCAGCCTGTGTCCTTCCACAGTGGCTGCCGTGAAGCAGAACTGGAGGTAGCAGCAGCTTCTGCCCCAGAGCGGCGTCCTCTGGCAGCCCAGCCCCAGGCTCTGTGACAGATCAGTGAGGGCGGTGAGACCAGCCTGCCTGGACCGCAGAAGGAGGTCGGCGGTCACAGAGGGCTCCTGCACCACACAGTGGGAAGCTCTGGGCTCGGCATCAGGAGCAGGGGGTGCAGGGGAGGACTGTCCGGGTCCTTGCCAGGTCTGCCAGACGCCCTGGAGAAGCATGGGGCATAGCCAGCTCGAACTTGCCAGGCCCCAGAGGCCACAACTGCCTGCTGGGGACAGGAGATTCATTGACAGTGCTCAGGCTGTGGGCATGTGCCTGCCTGCGGGAGGCTCCTTCACGGTGTGTACACGGTGAGAGCATGTGTGTGCCACCTCCCGACCCCAACACTAAAACCTCAATAAACTGCCCGCAGTGGCTTGAGTGTGTGCTAAGGCTGCGCTGGGCCGGGTCTGTGAGATCTTGAGCGTGAGCCTCCACGGGGTGCCGCTGAGCAGCACCCCAAGACACCTGGAGCTGGCCACAGCTGAGCATCTTTGAATGGGGTCCCTCAGGGACCAGTACTCAGTGGGGCCAAGCGCTGGAGCTTCCTGGGCTCCACATTCCATCTGCTCGGCCCTGCCTACCCCCCGGGGCTCTCCTGTTGAAGGCCCCAGCCTGGCAGGCCTGCTGGCTGAGCCTGGCCTGACTGTTCTGGGCTTGTCTGAACCCCCTCCCACCTGACTCCTCCTTGTGTGACCTGTGCCCCACCAGCGGCAGGAACTGAGGACGCTGGGATGAGCTAGACCCGCCTGTCAGGTTTACTGAGAACTTGTGGGGGCGGGTCCCAGATTCCTAGGTCAGCCAGGCCTGGGCAGCTTCACCACCCCAGGGAGGGCCTGGGTACCAGTGGGCAGGGGCTGCCCCCCTCTCTAGGTGGATGTGAAATAACTGCAATGAGCCTGCAGCTTTGAAATTGGGGCCGGGGCCGGGTGCCTTGGCTCACACCTGTACTCCCAGCACTTTAGGAGGCTGAGACGGATGGATCACTTGAGGTCAGGAGTTTGAGACCAGCCCGGGCAACATGGTGAAACTGTCTCTACAAAAAATACAGGGCCCAGCATG